TATTTGGTTTTATAATGTATATCCGCATAATATAATAGCTATATATATATATATGTTTATATATGTATATATATATATGTATATATGTATCTATTTATCTAAATATATATTAATGTGCGATTTTAAGGTAGTTTATTTGTTTTTGTTGTCTTCATCTTTCTGATGCTATTATTACTTCAAGTTATTTTTATTATTAAATTTATTTTTATATTTATTTAAGCCGGCTATGATTATTCTCTGCCGTTTGTTATTGTTGTCAGTACTATTATTTAGTTATTATTTTATTATTATTTAATTATTTTATTATTATTTTCATTATTAATATTTTTATTATTATATTTATGATTGATTATTTTTTATTTTTTTATTCTTGTTAGTGGTGCTGCTTGCGGTGCTGTTGTCGTCTGATTTATTTTATTTTGTTTATTTTTTTCTTTTGTGTATTTATTTATGTATTCATATTAACTCATTTATATACATTGTATATAGATATATAAATATATATATATAGATATATATATACATATATATGTAGGTATATACATTTATTTGTTTATTTTTGTACATTTGTTTATATTTATATTTATTTATTTACATGAATATTTATTATATATATTAATATTTATTTATTTAGATTAATATTTATTTATTTATTTACTTAATTTATAGGTGAAGGACGCAATACGAGATGGTTTGCGGGCAGTCAAGAATTTAATTGAAGACAAATGTGTTGTGCCGGGTGCTGGAGCCTTTGAAATTGCTGCTTATAGGCGATTGCAGGTACTTATTTGTCTCCTTTTGTCTTCTTATCTGTCTCCTTTTGTCTTCTTATCTGTCTCCTTTTGTCTTCTTATCTGTCTCCTTATTTGTCTTCTTTATTTGTCTTCTTTATTTGTCTTCTTTATTTGTCTTCTTTATTTGTCTCCTTTTGTCTTTTTGCTGTCTCTTTATTTGTCTTCTCACTGTCTTTTTTAATTTTCTTTTGATGTTTTCTTCTGTCTCCATTTGTCTTCTTTTATCTTTTCTTTTAAGTTTATTTTTATTTATTTTTATTTATTTTTATTTATTTTTATTTATTTTTATTTATTTTTATTTATTTTTATTTGTTTTTGTTTGTTTGTTTGTTCTGCGGGTCTTTTGCATGTCGGGTTTTTTTTATTTCATTTGTTTGTACAGAGCGATATATACAAATATATATTTATAAATAAAAATATATAAATATAAATAAATATATAAATATATATTACTTATATTTGTACTGGTGAACAAGTAAATAAATAAATTAATTAATTAGTTAATTAACTAAATAAATAAATTAATTAATTAATTAATTAGCTAAATAAATAAATAAATAAAATAAATAGATAAATAAATATATAAATAAATGATAGGTATATATTTGTTTGTTGTTTATAGGAGTATAAGGTTGAAGTTGAGGGCAAGGAGAAGTTAGGTGTATCTGCATTTGCTGATTCTTTATTAATTATACCCAAGACATTAGCCGAAAACAGCGGTCATGATGTTTATAAAACTCTTTTATCTGTTATTGATGCTGCACAAACAAATACACAAAATAAACATCTGCTAGGCATTGATCTCCTTACAGGAAATCCTAATGTCCCTGCTATTGAAGGTATGCAGCCCCCTCTTCATCCACTATACATTTAGCTAGCTACTTAGCTAGCTAGCTAGCTAGCTAGCTATAGGTTGCTAGCTATAGCTAGCTATAGGTAGCTAGCTAGCTAGCTATAGGTTGCTAGCTATAGCTAGCTATAGGTAGCTAGCTATAGGTAGCTAGCTATAGGTAGCTAGCTATAGGTAGCTAGGTAGCTAGCTATAGGTAGCTAGCTAGGCTTAGAGGAAACCCTAATGCACCCGAAATTGAAGGTAGTTAATTAGCTGTGCATCTATCGTGTAGCTAGCTAGCTAGCTAGCTACAAGCAAACAAGCAAACAAACAAATGAACAGCAGCTAGCTAGATAGATAGCTAGTGCGTCAGCTAGCTAGATAGATAGCTAGCTAGATAGGTAGCTAGTGCGTCAGCTAGCTAGGTAGATAGCAAGGTAGCTAGCTAGCTAGCCAGCTAGCTGCGTAGCTAGCTGTTGTTTGTGTGTATGTTGAATGCTTGTGTGCAGGCATTTGGGATAACTACAGAGTAAAGAGACAGATGCTCTCTCTAGCCCCTACACTTGCGCAGCAGCTGCTGCTAGTAGATGAAGTACTTAAGGCCGGCAAATCTATGACAAAAAACTAAACCCTAAACCCTAAACCCTAAGGGTGGGTTGTTAATGAATAACAAATTTATTTATGCATTTGTTTTAATAAAACTTAGTTTATTTTAATTGACTTTAAGAACGAGAAAAATAAATATAAATAAATAAATAAATAAAAGAGAGAGAGAGCAGCAATTAGTTATTATCATCAAACGCTGCTGCAGCAGACTCGCTCGGAGACAACTGTGTACTTCTGCTGCTGATATTGCTGCTGTTGCTGCTAGTGCTGCTGCTGCTGCTAATGCTGTTGTTGCTGCTAGTCCTGCTGCTGCTGCTGCTAGTGCTGTTGTTGCTGCTAGTCCTGCTGCTGCTGCTGCTAGTGCTGCTGCTGCTTATGCGGTTTCGCTCCAGTGGTAGGCAGGCTTCAATAGCAGCAGCAGCAGCAGCAGCAGCAGCAGCAGCAACAACAACAACAGCAGCAGCACCTCTTAATGAACCATAAACAAATTACTATATAATTTAACTTTTATGTAGATGCTTGTCTGTGCGAATATAAAATATAATATATATATATATATATATATATATATAT